TCTATATCAATGTATATTAATCTTGATTTAATTTATTCTTTATCCTTTCCTAATTCTTAGAATTAGAAAGATAAAAAGTAAGTTAAACTAAGATTCAGGTTAATCTACATTGATAGAAACAGAATATATATCTTTCTCTCTCATAGGATTTTGACAAAATCATTCATGACCAGACTTTATTATAAGATTTCTAAATTCGACCAATTAGAACAAAATAGATCAAAATTATCTGGTTAGTTTAATTCTAATCTTCAATTCGCAGACTCCTCAATCTTTCATTTGCAATGTGATATGAATTTAAAAGCATTGGTATGTGATAAATATACGAAACTTAAAATAATTTTATATTTTAGAGAGAAGCAAAAGCAATTAAAAGAAGAAAAAAAGGAGAAGAGAAAAACTCAAAAGGGAGAAAGGCGGAGGTAGCATCGAAACAAAAGCGTTGAGAGACTTACTTTGAGATTACATATATGCTGTGGTATTTATGTATGTCTATCTATATTGTCGTGCATGCAACGATCTCCGACAGTTATTTAAACCAGTGTCATCGATTTTATATTTTCATTAGAAGAATATGTGTGTAGCATCCATCTGTCGTTAGGAAATTAATTCAGATTCAGTACGAATGCATATATCAAAAAGCAGTACATATAATGTTGAATCATCCTGTGCCTTCTGTCTGTCTAAAACATTGTCCTATTTTTTTCAAAAAAGGTTCGTTACTTATTCAGTCTTTTTTGTTCTCTACTCACTTTTAGCGTTCTACCTTCGTAGTCTGTGTTGTATTCAGAACTCTCATCAATCTCTTACTAATTAAAATTAGCAGTGAAACAATTAGTAGTTTATCAATAAATGGTTCTGAATATCGACACACCTTTTATTCATTGATATGCTTAGCATATTGCGTTGTATCTTATACATATGGTGTATTTAATACGAGTATGTTAAAAATAAACTATTTAAATCAGACATTTAGTATTTAATACTACAGAATATGGAGGAGAAAAGGAATTACTGTAAGGAAGATACGCGCCAAGAAGTACTTTCGTTGAATTTGTATACATATTTTTTTATTAGTTATATATTTACACACAAGATACCGAGTCGAAACCGAGTGATCTTGGTATTGCATTATTAATGAAAGACAAACGCAGTAAGATAAAAACAAACGAACAAATGATACAAAAGATGATGATGCTTCAATATCATATCAGTATACATGTATATATTATATATATATATACACACATATACATATATATATAATATATATACTGTCATTATAATAATCATTTATTAACGATTCTCTCGTTTGCTATAGTTAAGTCTGGGCAGAAATTGACGAACTCGCACTTACACGTTTATAACAAGCATCCGCAATTGAACGCCAGATTACAAATCACTCTACGAACCCTCGCTCCCATATTTTTATCGGAATCGTTCTTCCTGCACTTCTCTCCGTGCTTGCGAAATATTCTCACTTCCGTGCGGATTCGCGTACCGAGAGCTCCTCTTAGGGCCTAGAAGAGCGAAGCGCGTGCGTGGCCATCGTTTAATAATCTAAACGATCCTCCGTCACGTCCACGGTATCATTTTACGCATTAGCGAGCTTCTCAAACGAGAGACAATCCCTCGTCACTCGCGTCTCTATCATCTAATGAAAACTTACTAGCGCGTCTAATACAAACGCGTAACTCTATGATTGTCCTACTAGGATGATCTATGAGGCTCGGCCGTCGCAACGATGGTTCTTCGCAAGGGCCTTTTCATCGGACGCGTTTATCCATTTGCGGGAAGGGGAGAAGGGTCACGCACGCACACACATTATACTTAATTTAATTCGATAATGTCTAATCGCGTCGTTAAAATTCGTTAATTAGTTGCACACTGACTTAACGGATATACGCCGCGCGGAGCATTCCTTCGTTGAAGCCAGAGGGAACTCTTCTCTTTCTTTCTCTCTTTTTCCTCTCTCTCTCTCTCTCTCTCTCTCTCTCTCTCTCTCCGTCGCGTTCAAGTGAGATGTGTGTGTACGTTCGGAGCACGTTCGTTACATCCTGGACTAGAAAAAGCGACTGTCTCCCTTTTCCGTCCGCGCCGTATGGAGAAATCGCGGCGTACGCAACGACTATTCATTCGCAAACGATGAATCGACCAGATGCGAAATCGAGTAGTTTTCAGTCGAAGGACATGGATTTTCGCTGTTCCTCGGATGGTATTGAAACAATACATGCCCTGCCTCTTTCTTTTAGTCCCAGCTTTGACGATATTGGTCTTTAATTCGTAGTTTAAGCGATCCCTCTGTCCTTTCCAGAAGACAAGGACCCGGTTTGAGTCGAGGTAACCGACGCCAGCTAAACCGATCACTAACGTGTATTTTTTTTCGCGTACGAACATGCTTCTCGTATGTTTCTTTAGACGTACGCGCGACATGCGCGTACCGAGTGTGCATATGTTGGTCTGTTAAGTGATGATGCACGTCACACAGATTATACAACCGTCCCGTTTATACAGATAGTATAATTTGATCCCTGTATACAATAGTGAACACAACTAAAAACTTAAGACTGTACAATTGAACAGCGTTTTGTATTTTCTTTTTTTTTTCTTTTAGAGATAACGGGGCAGGGATTCCGTAGTCGCGCGTGTTCTTCGTGAACGCATTTTCTTCTAATTGTCCTCTATCATATCCTAGACTTAACTCGTTTTGTCCTTGCGCATTACCGCATCTCATGTGTATAATGGTATTATATATTTATGCAATAGATATATGTGTGCACATAACCATACGCCATACTTTCTCTTCCTCACTCTTTTGTTCTCTCCGAGATAAGTCTTTCTCACAGGCACGCACGCATGCACGCACATACACATACACAGTCACGTCTTTATTTTTTTATACAGAATTTGATATATCTCTCGTTTCCCTAGAAATCGTCGCCTCATAGACATTATCTTCGTCAAATTTTTTCTTCTTCTCTTCTTTTTCTTTTCGTTTGGAGTAATCGAACGAAATGCTTACCCGGGACTTCGTGATGATCGTCATTACGTTGACGTCGATTATTCGAGAGTGACTGCTACGAACCCGTCACAAGTTGTAAGAATTGTGTATCATATATCATATAATATGCGCTACTTCGTCAGTCGTTCGTTCGGGCAGATTCGCCGCATACGAATAATATATTTATATATGTAGTTCTTAATATTATAATACACATCCGCTCGCGTTTATTGACCATTCACCGATTATGTCGCGCGATACTACTACGATTGGTACGATATTAATTGTCCTAAAAATTCTTGGGCTAAAGTGAGACCGTTTTGTGTGACGGCAAGTTTATTATTCGTTTCGATTATCGTGAGACGTTCGATAATTTTCCGCGAAAATCAAACAGTATGCTTCACAAAAGAACTCGACGAGTTTCGCTAAAAGTGTAATAAAAGTAAGGCGACATATCGATTTGCAGAACGAACATTAGGAACAATTTCGCTATGTTTTCGTTAACAATATAAAATAATGATTCATTTCAGTCTCTTGTGACGCGATCATAATTTACGAGTATTCTCACATATATGCTCCAATTTTCGGCCGTGACAATGAAACACAGATTACAGTTTTAGTAGGGCCACCGATGGATTTCGTACGTATAATAGGACCTTTAAGAATTAGAGAAGCATGCAAAAACGGAAGATATAACGTTCCGTGGTGGAAGCTCGAAAGCAGCAAACGGTGGAGCGTGACGCGTCTCACGTTTCTAACGTCATAATGATGTAATCATTACGAGCTCGTGTGTCTTGCGAAACTTTAGAATGGGTACGGGCACATCGAACAATTACCAAGTCTAAAAGTAGCCTAACATTATAATACTATACAATAGGTTTTTTTTGTCAAATCCTCTGCATATCGCGAAATGCTCGTGATGGTTCCGAAAGGGGCGTGTCAAAATTATATAAATCGCTAATTAATGCCAGGAAATTATGAACAATGTGTAAATAGATAGTACTGTGAAGGCGGAGAGGAATCTCACGGGACGTTAATCAAAATTAATCAATTTCAACGTAATAAAGCATGCGTTACGTCGCGAATGACCGAAAATTATCGGGCTGCTCCTTTTTTTTTTACGTATCCGTAGTGAGCGAACCAGCATATTGCTGCTGCTGCTGCTGCTGCTGCTCCGGGACTTCAAAAACGCGTAATTAAAATCTGTACATCCCTACGTATATAAGTAGTGTTAACTCTGTGTCATTATATCGATGATAATCTTCGTTACTTATATGCCGCTATATCTTTGCGGTAATAGTAGCGATATAGCGATTATTACAAATAATAAGAAAATAATGATTAATAGTAAATTGAAATTATTATATTAGCGATCGTTACTTCTTAATATCAGAGAGATCTAAGTAAGACAGTGGTAGTTTAATATCACAATAAGACTACTCAGGCCTCGTTAAACTGGGGCACGCTTCACGTATTAATGTTACTCATCACCTTGACGCTTCGTTATTAATCGCGCGACCCTGTGTCGGCGACACGGGTCTCGAACGACTCAGGTTTTCTCGGCGCGACCGTAATTCGATGGTAATCTCCGACGTTACACTAATGTCGGACGAATCGTTGTTTGATCATAATGTGCTTCGCTTAAGCTCCTCGCTTCTCTAACATCATTGCCACGATACGCATATCGCGCCGCTTGCACTCGCGTAGTTATCTAAAATATGATGCTACTGTACGGCATATCTTCCGATTGCATTCACATGTGCGAGCTTTTTTTCACCGTCGAAAATGCAACGTCGACGATGAATCGTCTGTCTCACAGTTCGTCGACAGCAAGGCAAACTACGCATTCTATTCAAACTTTCAATTGTAATTTTTTTATACCTACGGCCGAGATTTCGTCACCTGTTAATCGTGCACTTCATATAGACGTGAGATAAACAATATTCGAACCAAATAGGTACGATGGTCCATGTCGAAATGTGATTGGTATACCAATCAAAATGGTATATACATATAGTATACACTAACGATTGCTAGTATTCTCATTGTAGGCAACAGGTCTATATTTTCCGCGAATAACTACGATAATGCGCGCGCACGCGAGTTCGTTTACGATTACCTGAGTGATATTAGATCGCCAGAGTCCCCGGGAGTGCGAATCGATCACGCGATTGCTATATTTTCTCGTCATGTCTGCGCGCTCTTCTCCCGTTCGTCAGATCGTCATTTTGGCCTCATAGCTCGATACATGCCGAGACTAGCGACTCTGTGTTTAATTAGCCGTTTGGCATCAAGAAACGGTAACGTCGGACCGGCCAGCCAGTTCTATACGCGCCTTTTATTAATTGTTACCCGCTCTTGATATATGTCGAGTGATAGACATCTAGCGCACTTCCCGCATCAGTGCAAAGAGCGAGTCTGCAGATCGCGTCGATACGCGAATAGCCCGTTTAGAAATGGCTGGCACAAACCCGACTTCACAATATCGGCGGCAGAAACGTGCCTGAGTCGTCGAGATTCGGATCTAGGCTCGCAACGATGTCACCGGTCGATGCGTGCCTCGACGTCGCTGTCTGCGTGCTGCTCGCCAGGGCGTGACTGCTCGCACTGCCGTTCAGCTTGCTCTTCACCATCAAGCCACCACCATTGTCGGTGCTGTCGGTACCTGTAGAGACCTTCTGCACATACTTGCGACCTTTATATAATCGGTACATCGTGTACGGTGGGTCCTCCATCGTCGTTGCCCGTTGTCGCGGTGCGCTCACAGTCACGCTCACCGTCTGTGGAGCGTGTGCGGATTCCCGCGGCGTCTCGACGCTCGTTGTCGTCGTATTCGCACTCGCGTTCACTGTCGATGAAGTTATCGCCGACGAAGAGGAGCTCATGTGTGAAGACGACGACGAAGTCAACCACTCGTGACGCATCGCCTCATCGGGGGTCATACGCTTCTTTGGATCCCACCTGATAGTATCAATCATTTAGTATAAAGTTGACAAATAGGGAATTCGTAAGATCCAAGATAAAAACTTTGCGGGAGCGGCCGCTCTTTTATTAGTAACCCTCCGCCAGCAATGTTGGACTTTAAAGACATAGTCGATTTTTTTATTGTGAATTCTGATAGATGAATTTAAATTTAGAAAAAATAAGTAAAATATAATACAATCCTTCTGATAATAAACATTTATTGTTAAAGCTTTTACAAGTATTTAAGAAATTTTTCAGATTTTTATACAGTCTAGAATAATGTAAAAATCTGTACTAAAATTCGAAGATCCAAATTATGAAGAAAGGGTAAAAATTTCACATTGCAACGAAGGGTTAATTATTTTGAAAACCTTTTCATCTCCTGAGTTTTCATAAAATGACTCAAGTAAAAATTTTAGATTTTCAAAGATATCATAAATCGATTTCGTCGATGCATAATAGAATTTTCTAATAATAAATCCACGCCAGAATATAATACAGCATATTGTAAGGAACTTACTCGAGGCATCTGCTAACGAAGTTTACGAAGAGCATGTCGGAGCAGCGAAGCGCCATTGAGAGATTCTTGCTACCTGCCCATCTCTTCTTGCCCTTGCTGTTTGTCACGCATCGCGGACTTCCCTTCTGATCTGCAATTATTTTAAACCCGGTTCTTTGAGTATTATGCGCGGCACGCCCTCTTCCATCTTTAGTGGGGACTCTTTTGCCCCCAGAGTTTCCAGTACTCAGATATATATATAATACAGATATTAATAAAACTTACCGAAGAAGAGCCTGCGACGAGAGGCATGATTGATAATGTGCTCCGGTGGCAGACCGAGGACTTCCATTATACAAGCAAGTTGCTCTATCTCATCCTCGCCCGGAAACAGCGGATACCCCGTGTAGAGCTCGGCTAAGATACAGCCCAGACTCCACATATCGATCGGTGGGCCGTAAGTAAGACCGAGAATCACTTCCGGACTTCTGTAGAACCTCGACTGTATGTACGTGTAAACGCGTTGATGGCTATAACACGACGAGCCGAAATCGATGACTTTAATCGAGCTGCTCCCCCGTTGTTTCAACAGCACGTTTTCCTGTAACAATGAGACAATGTATATGAGATACGACACTCTGGATTAACGAGAATAAAAGATGACTGTGCGAGCGTTTCTTGATATTACTCACCGGTTTCAAGTCGCAGTGAATGATGTTCTCTCGGTAGAGCAGTCTCAGGCAACTAATTAGAGAGTTGGCGAAACGACGGATCAGGCTCAGGCTGAATCCTTGATAATTATTCTTTTTGATTAGCTCGTACAAGTTCAAGCTGTAATGCAAATTTGATTTATAAAATTCTCGCAGGTGGAAGTCCGACTCTGTTTATCTCGCTCGATCGCTCACCTCATTAATTCGAAACTGATGCACAGATGATTCCTGAAGTAAAAATATTCTAGCATGTGTATCACATTGTGCTGCGAGTTCATCTCTAAATCCTTCTTTCTGAGATGTTCCAAGATTCTCACTTCGATGAGAGCCTGGTGATGGAATCTCTTCTTGTTTCTGCAAAGAACAAGTGAAAGCCGCGCTGTTTAAATACAAAAAAATGACGCGATGAGCTCAGAAAGCGGACACGTTCGGAAAAATGCCGGATGTATCGGACATTATTCATTGCGGACGCGCCATGTTTTTTTTTTCCAGATCGTAGCTCACGATCTGAGTCATCGCGAGATGAGTGTACCGTTTCCACGTACCTGATAATCTTGATGGCGATATGCTGTCCCGTTTTATGATCCAGCGCTCGGATCACCTGACCGAAACTTCCCTTGCCGATCACCTCCAGGATCTCGTATCTGAGTGCACACAAATTTTGAATACTTTACACACGTGCGAGTAAACAACGTGGACAAGCGGGAATGGAAGAAAGGCGAAAAGAAGAGCGCGTTGGTATGATTGCCGGTCCCGTTTAACCATGCAGATCGTTCACGCGAGGAGAAAATTCGTATCGACGAGTATTTTTACACAGAGAGAATTTTTTCTTAGAATTCACCCTGAAAATATGACAGTCGTGGGACAACATTGTATTTCGAAGAATTTTTTAATGTAAAGTTCTCTCATTCATTAATAAAACTACAATAAAGTATAAAATAAGTTTGATCAATTTTATTGAAGTGCATGGTAAAAATCTTTAAAATATTGTATTGTATCACAACTACTACATTTTCAGGGTAAATTTTAAAAGAATATTTTCTCCGTGTATTTATCGTTTTGCGATTTATTGCAGTTTGTGCATGTTTAGATATATACAGCTATACGCACAGCTGTCAACCGCAATTTCTCCTCTCGAGAGTAACGATACATGGAATGCAAGTGCGCGCAATTGTGAGGTTCCATTGTTAGTTATGCGATCCCCTAGCTAGTATACTCAGCGAAATGAACATCGAGCGCGAGCGGCAATAACAATTAGGAGAGAAGAGGGAAAGTTGCTTTGAGGTTTGACGAAAGAGGACGAACGGATGCTCACCTGTAAGAGATATGATCGTGCAGGACTTTGTTGTAACTGCCGTTTTCATCGTCGTAACCGCCGTTCTGAGAGGAGACCTCCTCGCCGTGGATTTTGTGGGCCGACAGACCCAGGTACCAAATCTCCGAGTACTTCTCGATCTCGGCACGCTCGAATTCCGTCAGTCTGGAGCCGTAATACTTCACCGCCTCCTGGGGCGTCATGGGCAGTCTCCCAGCTATTTTTTCCACGAAGAAAAAACACATGAGGCCGGCTGCGTGCTACTTCAAGGAGTCCGCGAGAGTTACGTAAGTTTCCGACTCATAAATTCTTTTTTCGCTACCAGCGGAACATCTTTGCCAACGGTACACATATCGTAAAGTATAGAGTTATAGAGCTTTCCTTGATTAATTTCGGCTACAGAAAGCGCTCAATTTCGAATAAGTAATATTTATAGGCTCCTAATTTGCAAAGCAAAATTTAAAAAAAAAATACTATTTTTATTAAATATAACTTTGTTAATTGCGTTTTCTTCTCGGCGTCTAACTTACATCATTAAGACAACTTAAGATTGTAGAATTGTGAAAAGTGAGATGAGATCCCCTTTATATTTTTACATATGGACCGCATATTACGAATACAACCGACGTTTTTACTGGACATTATAATGTGACCGAATTTTCCGATAATTTATGTAATATTGTTTATTGTTTTACATTGAAAATGACCCCCCGATCGATGTCAAAATGTTTGTATGTACGAATTTTAAATTATTAAATATTTTACATTATAATTGGCTCGTAGCCCTTCTTTTATTTAGTGATTAAAAAGAATGATCTAAAAAGGAACAAGGATGCAACGTCATAAAAATGTATAATTACTTTTATTACTAAATCAAAAGAATACGTTTCGACCCATACTTGGTTTTCAGTTATTTTAAATTAATAACTAAAAAGCTGTAACATAAATTTTTATAATAACTGATGAAGACCAAGTATGGATCGAAAGGCATTCTTTTGATTTAGCAATAAAAGTAATTCTGCATTTTTGCGACGCTGTATCTTGCATTGCTCCTTCTCGTTCGTTTTCTTTTTTTGTTAAATAATGCGCTCAATTTCTATTAAACCGTGTAAAGCTGTTATTTGTTCGCCAAGTAAACCGAGAACCGCTTTTCTCAGAAGTATGAATAACATCTCTCATATATGCCGTAATCCTATATTGCCTGCAATTCACGTCAACGTAACAGCGCGTTCCGTATGTTCAAATGCGTATCCGCGGCGTCTTAAATACGCAATTCGGTCGACGGTGTATTAAATGATAGCTCGGCACGACCGGCACGTTTCCCCACACTTGTGCCTTATAAGGTATCGCGATTTTCACGTAATCATAGAGTTCTCACGTACCGTATACTTCGGGGGAAGTTGCGCTGATGGGTTCATGCAGCGGCATATTGTGGATGTTGTTGCTCGTGCTGTTAGAGTTGTTCGCATTATTGTTGTCCGTCTTGTCCACTCGCGTCGGCTTGCTGTTGAAAAAAGACGGCAGTTTCTGAAACGGACAAAAGGATTTTTCTTTACATACGAGTTTGTCGAAACGCGTTGTACGAAAATTTATGACGCCGACAAAACCCGAGCTCGCAGATTTATCTGCCCACGTTGCAGTGATTCGATTTTTTAAGGTATATAACATTCATTTTCTCAAGAAGGATATTCGCCATAATTCCAGCATAAAACTTCAACCAAAAAATTAAATTGATCAAATGGTGCGTGTTGAGAGTAAATGTTGAAATTTTCAAAAGAATGCAGAGAGAACATATTCAATTAATTTTTAAGAGGTACATCTCCGAACTCAAAAGAAAGTTTAGCTTTAATTTTACGCAAACCTTTCCAGAGATCCCTCATATATATTGTATCAATGTACATCGAACGCATCTTTCGCGAAGAAACGTATCTTCCATACGTTTCTCCGCCGCAATTTTATCGACGTGGGGAAATAACACCGCAATTACCCCAGGCTCAATTTTCGCGTTAAAATTGCCCGAATCGCTTCCATGGCGATCGAAGCTTTTTTTGCATCGTGAAAGTGGCGCGGTATGATCTCTTAAAGAAAGTGGCACGCACGATGAATGCGCATCGGCGTGTCCACGTGCATGTATGTGTATGACTGTGTGATGTACTGACCCCCGATTTAACAAGTTTAACGACACCGAGAAGTGACCCGGACAATTATTTTCTTTTTACTGCCGAGAGAGCCATTGAAACGTTTCGTCGGCGGAGCGATGTCTTTCCATACCAACAGCCAAGGGCAGTCACCGGTCGTGAATGCACCTCGAATGACAATCAGGCCTACTGTTGTTCCCAGTTCGCGTCGGGGTCTCTAGCCTCTCATTAGATTTCCTCGCGCGTCTTTCCGCCGATGTTAAATATTTATAGCTGAACGCCGGTAATCGATTTCGGGTATCATTGCCAACTTTTAGTGTCCAGCATCGCGAAGTATAATATATATTTATGGAGAAAATATCCCGACATAAGTCACCGGAACGTGTTTAATGGCGAAGCGATAAATAATCGCGACAACTTGTAGCGTCTTCTTGGCGCCTTCTTGGCGTAGGTCAAACACCTTTTGAATCTACTGTATTCTATGAGAATCATATATAAACATTTCATTCGAGATAAAACGCTTTCCTTTCCTGCTTTCTCATTAACTCTATACAAACGTAATATCAAGAAAAGTGACAAGTTTATTTATTCCAATGAAATTATGCGAGAGAATATTTTCAACCTTTGATTCGAGTATCTTGGAAACAGACACCTTGCCGAGGTGGATATCCACGCTCACCTCGCTCCAGATGTAGCACTGTTAACAGTATTTATGCGTGACGTTATGAGAAAGTATCAAAGTGGCGAATGCACTTCGTATGAATATTCAATGGCTCCGCATATCGCTTCGCGTATTACTGACGTTTACCTTCGACGTACAGCATCGCGAACGTATAATTTTCCATACGTAAAATATTCGTATTGGAATTCTCTTCAGCGCATTTGACGACCGCCGTATCTTAATTAATGTCGATCATTCTAAATAGATCTCTTTGCGCTAGCGTTTGATCTATATCCTACGAAGGCGCAAGTTATGATAAAGAACGACGCGATTTGGCGCCAATTGATCAGGCTGGCGGCAATTAAGGTCAGGCGAATGTTGGCATAAATTCCTATTAAAGGGTCGCCAGACGATCCACAAATGCTTTCACGCGTCCTTGTTGCCTTCTAGTTCTACATCGCTTTACGTCTACGCAATCGACCGTTCGCGATAAAACCTCATCAACCGAAACGATTCTGGAATCTTGCTAAATATAAATTTGAAAATGATTTTGTTAGATTTTCCATCAAAATAATTTTGTTGGAAACTCACTGTTAGATGTCAAAGGAGCAGTAGGAATTCCAATCCCTCGAGTTAAATAACATTTTGTTATTTTTAACTTTTATATGTGTCAAAAAATGTGAATCAACACATTTCTATGGTTAGTTTCAAAGTAAACAATGTTCATATTAATGTATGCATTTAGTAAATAATAAACTAAATTGAAGTCTTCAATACATTTTCTGAAGTTAAATTGTTTAAGACTGGATCGTCCCATTTTTCGATAAACTTCAGCTTACTGTCTTATCCTCTTACTTTCTTATGCTCATACTCTTTTGTTTATATATGCTCTCTTGTTTATCTATGTGGTAATTACCTATTAGATAAACAAAAGAATAAAAGCATAAGAGATGCTTTCACTCTTTTGTTTACCTAATAGGTAAATTATCACATAGTTTATCTAAAGATGGAATAACCGATCCTATTTTCATTGTTTTAGTTAAATTAATGTCATATAGGCGCAGTGGCGATCTAGATTGAAAATAAATTAAATTGAGTATAGTTTAAAATTATGAATTTAATATAGTGTGGTCGCTAAAATATAAACATGTTTTGCAGCATTGTTCGTCCTTCATTTTTATCGATCCAGCAAAATTATTTTCAGATTTGTGTCCAGCAAAATAGTTCTTTCTATAATTATAACGCGGATTAATCGAACGATTTTCACATCGTCCGACATAGCACCGTCATAGTACAGACGCGATTTCTGCTTCATTAATTTTGTGCGCGGTGAAATCCTCAGATTCCAATTAAAATACGAATCTCTGAGAATTGATCGGCGACCGCGGCTCTCTCGTTTGACCTGGTGTAATGAAAAATTATTATCGCCCGTTGCACAGCATTTCGGATCGGTGATACGCGGATGCGTTTCGAGCGGGGCGAGAGGAGATGGGGAGGACAGCGGCATAAATAAAAAGTCGCGAGTGAATAACCATGCGGTCCGGAGGCCGCTCATATAAATTGTAATCTTATGTTTACCTCGCCCCGCTTATACCAGTCTCTCACTCTCATCCTCCCTCTCCCTTCCTCTCTCTTTCTCGATGTATCTGATCGATCGCAGTCTCTCGCACTCTTTCGTGTTTCTTTCTCTCTCTCTCTATCGACCAACGGAGGCTGTTCGCCGGTGAGCCCCGACACGGGCGGGTCGAGGCACGCTTAACGCACGCATAAATAACATACGCGAATCGCCAAGATTCACGTAATGAATTCACCATGAGCCAAGCTCGTTTTTGACTCTCGAAATTCGAAAATCCAAGACAGAGACAAGAGAACGCTGACGGGGACAATCTCGTACGAGACGTAGTTTCGCGGTTGAAAATAAATCGTCGCAAAAAGCTTTGTGGTTTTTAGAAGAAACATCGGGGGAGAAATTTTCTCAAGGACGCTCGAGCACGCTCGGTTTCAGCCGTCGGCCAGTAAACCGTATTGCCCACCGATCGTGCAGATAGGCATGCACAATAACTCCCTGTGTATCCCAGTTATGTTATGCGGTTTACCTTGTGACATCTCCCAGTCGCGGCCGCCTTTCTAATGCCGCGTGCGCCAACGCGATGCTGCAGCTGTTCACCGCTGCCTCGTGATTACGTTACCCGTGGCAGTCGCGGCCGGAGTACCTACGCACGTACTTTGGATACGTGGGACTTGACGTTGGCACGTGGGCGTATCGGTATCTCGGAAGCACGAAGCCAAGTGGAAACGTCACTCGACCATGGTGTACGCACAGAGAGGAGCTCATTAACCCGTGCGAGCGAGCTGATCCCTGAAGCGGAGCGGAGTGATCGGTGTTCCGTTACGACGTAAGAACGCCTTGAGAGCGACTTAAATGGACGCGGATACAAACAGCGGGGCATTTTCACCGCATGTTTCACGCTAATTGCGACGTATTATACATGCTTGCGCTGCACTTTCCCCGAGTGTCATGGATTTTTCATTTTTTCTCTCTGATAAACGTTTCGCGCGAATTATTTAGGAAAGGACAGATCGAACAGTCTAAATATATCGCTGTGGATTTAATACCATGTGGTATCTACATAATTCTCACCACACTGAGAGAAATGATGATGTTATAGGAACAAATCAAGCACGGAAAAAACAGTATGGTTGGTCTACACAGAAATCTGGTGATGCCAACCAGATTAAATAGTAAAATATGGAGCAACTATTTATGTGGTTGCTTCAACTATTTAATCTGGTTGGCATCACTTTTTGAAATTGTAACTTAATTTATAGCACGATGTAACAAGAAATTAATTCTTATTAATGATTTAATTCTTATTACATCATGCTTTATAACATCACGATTAACGCAACTGTTAGGGAAAACAAATGTGAAAATGTGATATTTGTTAAGAAAACGATTGATTAGTTACTATTGCAAATTAATTATTTTTCATTCGTCAATGTAACATATAATTAACAGTATCGCTAGCAAATAAAAAGCTCATATATACATAAAGTCGTAGACGGTCATAAGGTCTCAAATCGTAAAAAATTCTATAGTCAAGTTCTTCGTATATTTGGCTGTGATTGATCAGTTTCCTACGACTTAAGACCCCAAGATCATCTATGATTTCTATGATAAACGATCCTAAAGATAGGTTAAGTTCTACATAGTTTGCTTCTATTACTAATAATTGGTTGGTATAGCAGACTAGTAGTAATCACAACAAATCAATTTTGTTGTCACATATTTATCGATCACTTGTTAAAGGTACTGGTGGCTTGTTAAATTAACAAAATCCTTTCTCTCAGTAGCATGTTGATGTTAATTTTAATCAACATGGTGTAAATTTAAAACCGCTGATTTATATCCAAACCCATGATGTTAAATTCGCAGCGATATTTTTGGAGAGAACCTGAGAAATACAAGTAATAAGCTCTCCTTTTTCGATTAATGCCAGACAAAATCCAACGAGATCTACATACACGATACATCTTGCGTATGTACACAGTAGCAGATTGGATAAACAGGAATATCTCGCGCGGAAGCCACTAGATACGTGTATCAACATATCTCATCCACCCACGAATCGCGCGTGAAACTTGAAAGCATCAACTGTGTGTCTTGTTTAATTCAGCAAATACGCAGGCAAATACTCACGCGGTAGCGTTGCACTTCAAAATCATTT